TGCCAGTCCCTGTATTAAATCTATTGTATCTGTATTGTCAAGCTTGCCCCAGTAATTCAAGTGTGATGTTGCAAGCTAGATAATGTGCAGCAGAAGACTGAAATCATATGATCCAGGATCTTTGTTTAATGGTGATATACTGAAGAATAGGAATTTAAGTGAGGAAAATAAATAATTTGAGAACCTAAATTAACTCTGTTTAGAGAGAATGAAGAAGTCCTTGCCCACTAAAGCCCTGTAGAAAATTACAGTTTATTTCCATGAACTCAGAATTTGTATTAATTGAAATTAATTAAATTTGTATTACAAATATGAGAAGAGGGCAGCTCAGTTTAAAAGACTAGGATGGAGGCAAACAGGTAAAAAAACCTGGGGTAATAGTTTTCATGACTAATTTGAATGAATATAGTTTTGCCTTTAAAAGTTTTGAATTATCGTGACTCTGCACCGTGGCACTCTTGAAATAAAATACTGCTCTTAGATACATGTTTGGCTGGCTGTGAGTATCCTTCACATTACTGGCAGGTATTATTTCTGTCTGCTGAACAGTCATCTTTGTGGCTTTACAGTATAGACTTCTGTTATTCAGTCAACTTCTGTTGAGATACTGTTAAAGATTGGTAAACATTGCCTAACTTACCAGTGAGTGATAGCAAATTTCTGACCCTTAGCCCACTGACACCACTTTTTGCTTCCCTTTGAAAAAACTGTCACCTGTAAATGTTTGACCCCATTTTCAGTTCTCAGTAGAAAATGTCAGATTTAACAGGCTAGTTACTGTTTTGCTGACGTTTAAGTGAAGCATACACAAATAGAGGCCTTAATGTACAAATGGGAGGCTCTTTCCCTTGTGTCTTTATGTGATAGAAACAGGTATATAGTGGGTATGTTCTGTTCACCTTATTGGACCAAACAAATGAGAAATTTCCCTTAAAATATATATTATTCTCTCTAATTCTGAGATATTTAAAGCCAGTCTTAAAGTAAATAAATTCTTTTCTATAGTATCTCTGTGCTCCTAGGTCACTGTGTGTAAATATTCTGGGTAAGTTTAGAATCTGCGGCTGTGGTCGGTGTATGATGCCAGATTTTTTATAAAGAGGTCCCTCAGCTCCTTCACTTCTTTTACCAGATTTGGGTGTCTCCTAGAGTCTAGACTTTGGGTTCAAATGAAACAAAAAAAGCATGTTGTTTGAAGTACTGGTGCTACTAAACCAAACATCACTAATGATGAATTCCTCTGGTCAGTTGTAGATAAACAGACGTTTTCCAGTTCTTGACTTAACTTTCTTTAACATAATTTTATTACAGAATTATATGAGACTAAGCTTATGCATATATTTCTTAGATATAGTTAAGAATCATGAGGTATTTCATCTTGGACTCTGTCCTGTGTTCAGTGAAACATTTTAGTTAAAATGCATGGGAAAAGATGCGTCATTTTGAGAATCAAGGCTATTGCTCAATTGTCCTGTTGTCTTAAATGGTCATAATATTCTTAATGTTTCCAAAAATCCTGGACAAATACAGAAATGAGATTATTGTTCCATAGAAAGGGAAGGATACATGAGCATTTTTATGCTTAATCAGCTCTATCATTAAAACAGCTATGTCAACATCCTTTTGTACATGCTTCTTGGTTACAGCAGGAAATAGAAATAGAGCAAGACATGCAGACTTTTTCTCAGCTTTAGTAGCTGACCTATAGAGCTACTAGAGTCACAGGTTTGAAAACTGGGACATGGACAGACATACAAATATTCTAATAATCTGTGTACTCAGGTGTATATATGTAAAGTCTGTTTACCAGCCATAAGTGACCATCTTTAAAAGGCTGTTTTATCCTTTTATAAAATTATGTAGTACTTAAGAAAGGTTGTTATGCTAGAAAGATATTTCACTGATGAATAGGTTTGAATGGGACCTGAGCAAGCTGTTTGGTGAGGAGTCTAGGGAAGGGAGTATGCTACAAAGATGTTCACTCCCACCCTTCTTTGAAGAGCCAGGGAGCAAGATTGGTGTGCACTCAGGTTCAGTGTAAACTGAAGTAAAAACCTTTTACCACTGATCATTCCTGAAACCTGATGATAGTAGAAGAGACTGTAGGAAACAGGACCATCCTTGCAGGAAGTGTTATGTTACTGTAGTAAATGTACTAGGATCCTCATAGGACATCAAATGGAAAAAGATTTGGTATTCAGTGCAACTTTGTAGGACCTTTATGTCCCAGTTTTCAATGGGTCTGGAACATAACAAGTTAAAAGTAGATACTGTCTGTAGGCTAGCTTTGCCTCGGGAACAGTGAGTTGATCATTAGTAGAGGGGGGGAGCAGAGACCCAATTGTTGGATAATTTTTGCCCCTTATTTTTGATGGTTGCTTTAAAAAAGTAACTGTTATATAGCATTATAAGAAGTTCCTGTTGTGCTAGAGACAGATGACATGCACTAAACTAATAATGCACTGTACTCATAAAATACTGCTTACATATTTTAAGCCTTGTCCATGTAAATGCCCACTTCTGAGGGACAGTATGTTTTATTTGGAATAGATGTAATAATTTTGGGTTTTTTTTTTTGGGGGGGGGGCAGGGGGGAACAACGAACAAAGATGGGGAAGAATGGACACCATAAACTGAAAACATATGAAATGGCCCTGTATAGGGAAGTTGCTAGTTATTGACAAATTTTTCCATACTTAGAGCTGATGTTTGAATTTGGTTAACTAATATGAACAATGTAGGAGATAAATACTTATTAGGACTGCTTGTACTGATGAAGCTTTTAAACTTGCCAGATTTTAATGAGGTGTTCCAGCTAGAAAAATGCCACGTGGTAAATAATCACTGTAAATGATGAATGTTATTTCAATTTTTTTTTTTTAAAAAGACTAGTCAAACATGACAGAAAATAATTAACTGTGAGAATGGTTTCAGTATGTGCCAAGGATGTGTTCAAGATCAGGTTACATAAAAGTTAGATTCAGAAAGGGAAGACCCTGACCTGCTTGAGCTGCATAGCTATAAGGCCTTTTCCAGCTGTTCAGTCTTCACATACAGATGTTAGTTTCGTTTTTTCTATATTAAGTATTCTGGGTTACTTTAGATTAGTTCTTTGAAGCTAAAACGTATCTGGCAAGAAACCCAGCACTATCAACTCCTAGATAATATAATGACTGATCAGAATTAAAGAAAATACACCACCAGCTTGGGCGTTACCAGTGTTTATTCAGATCTAACATCCAGTTGGTACATTGTCAGTCTTTCTGAATTCTCAAAGGATTCTCTGTTATTAAATCACAGAGCCAGGAAGTGGGAATGTGTTGCCACAGTAGTTCTGTTTTCTGGTGAACAAGGAATGAGTTTTGACATTTGACATGTCACACAGGGAGATTTTGCAGTTCCACTTCACTGTCAACAAGAATACTAGGTTTTATTTTTGTGGTTGTTGAAAAGGTCAGCCTGGATAGAGCAGTAATAGAATAATAAGCAGTGGCCCAGCCCCTCTCTCACTATGTGGTGGACAGTGAGCACTGCAGAAAGCAGTGAAAACCAAGAGGTCTGCAACTCATTTGGCCTCTAGATAAACCAACTCCCAAAGGATTTTCTATCTATTATGAAAATGACTGAATAAATACTGTTAAATGAAGATGCTATTCTTCAAATAATAAGTAATTTCCATTCTGGAGCTGATAATTTATTCTGACTACCCAGGTAGGAATTGTGATTAATATGCTGCATTAGCGGCTTGAGCAGATCAAATCTTAAGAAGTAAATATCTTATTTTCATGCAGATAAGGCTAATTAGAAAATCAAAGGAAGATAAAACCCTGGAAAAGTGATGTAATGCACAGAGCAAGTTATACCGTGTTGAAACTGTAAAGTCTGAACAAAATGTTATCAGACTTTCCTGTGAAGGAGGTAGGGAGAAAGGCTTGTAAATTGAGGTACACCAAGCTCCACACCTGAAACATGGTGGAAATGGAGTTTTGAGTCTGAGATTAGTTGCAACTAACGAGAGACTTGGTCTTCTCCGATAAACCAGATTCCATGCTTTTGTGTTCAGCAATCTATGCTCATTACTCATTTGTTCTCAAGATCTTTTTTCCAGAGTTATCCCAGACATGTATTTGTCAATGTAGCGAATCCATTTCTTTTCTGCTGTTTACCTTCTCACTGAGAAATTCACACTTTCATTTTTAAGATGCATAATAAAGCATTCGGGTCATACAGAACACTAAGATGGGTGTTGATAGTAGTAACTAGAATGAATACATGTAATCTAGAAATGTCTTCTGTAAATGACATTAATGTTCTTGCCCACAGTAGATTTAATTTTGAAAAGCATATTAATGAGAAATTGATGAAATAGAAGTTATTTTCTTTCATTAAAACATCAGTATATCACCCTGTTATTTTCTGTATGTACATGACATGTAGATGAGACAATTTCAGTGGGAGTCAATTGTCAAGTAGGATTTTTTTTTTAATTTTTTTCAAGTTTGGCAATCAAGCTTCTATTCTTGATTAAAATAAAGATCTTGTTTCTCCATTTTAACTAGCTTGCATTATTTGGCTAAATGTATGAATCATTAGTCTTTTCCTTTTTAGTTCTTATTTGATTATCAATTATCTGTTTGGAAATGTTCTGAAATATGTGACAGAACTTTTATTTCAGTGTATCTTTATGGGGGATCTGTAGTTTGGTTTTGATGGTCAGTTGAATGCCCTTTAAGCTGCGTAGGTTTCTGCTGTAACTGTGAATAAAGTACTGCACTGGCAGTGTACAACTTGAAACAGAATTTGGAGACTCTAATTTTGACTGAAAAACTTCTATCTCCAGATTTTACCCTTTTTTATGTATTACATTGATGCATTATTTTTAAAGTACTGTAATTACACTGAGAGGCATTTTACCTTATTGTGGTTACAGATGTTGAGAAATGAAACAAACAGTGATGAAGTACAGTAAACTTGCATGAGTTATTCTCCTTTTTCCTTAGATATTTGGGCAATTGGCTGCATATTTGCTGAACTGTTGACTTCAGAACCTATATTTCACTGTCGTCAGGAGGACATCAAAACAAGCAATCCTTTTCATCATGATCAGCTAGATCGCATTTTCAGTGTAATGGGATTCCCTGCAGGTAATTTATTTTCATTAAAGTGTCAGATGTAATGCTACAGAGTTGATTTTTTTACTAAAGGAGATGACTAGTTGTTTGTATAGGTATGAAGAAGCTGTCAGTTTGATGGATTTGGAAATGCTGGCAATTGTGGAACAGTAGTACTGGCCAACAGAGTCAAACAACTGCTGTAGTTATTCCTTCTTGTTTACACTTTCAAAATTGTAAATACTTCTTCTTTTCCCCCCACCAAAGATAAAGATTGGGAAGACATAAGGAAGATGCCAGAATACCCAACTCTTCAGAAAGATTTTAGGAGAACAACGTAAGTGATGATCATTCAACAACAGTTCAGTGAATGCAGCAGAAGATGGGCAGAAATTGGCTCCTACCCTCTGAGGGGGAGGGGGCAGTTTTGTAGTTTTTGGGTTCTAAAGCTGTGACTGCTGTCCTATTTGAACTAGCCATTTTGCTTGAATGGTGTTCTTTCCTTCAGCTGCTTGTTAAAAGCATCATCTGAGTGGCCTCCTCATTTCTGTAGAAGGGGGTTTTCATAAGTGCCATTTAATCTATGGCAGGCATAGACAAATGAGCTTGTTTAAACCAGTTCTATTAGCTGTTAAGGATAACTTCATTCTTTTTGTGTGAGAAAAGATAGGGAAACAGCTCCCTGGTACTTTTCACCAGCTTTTTTTACTGTGGAGAATAAAGCAGTGGACAGAAACTTCTAGAGAGAATAATGTGTTCAGTAGTTTATGATGCAAAGCCTTTCGCACTTTACAAAGAATTTTACACTTTTAGTGTTCGCTGGTGCTTTGGCTAAATTATTCAAGTGATGGTAATAGATCAGAGGGTGCAAGGAGCAGATTCTGAGGACATGGATTCAGGAGTTTTGGATTCTGTTTCCAGCTCTGCCATGGATTCATTATACTGGCTTTAGACAATATGTGAAGCTTATCTGTGCACAAAGCTTTTCTTTTGAAGATGACTGTAGATGATTTCTGGATTTGTGGATTAAAGACAAAACACAGGTCATATGTATCTGAGGCATTTTTGAGCTTGGAACTACAAAGGCTGTGTGGTTTGCTGCAGGTTGGGGTCAAGGAGAGGGAATGGTAAACAACTGCTTTGCCAGATTGCAGTTGGAAACAATATTGTTCAGATTTGCACTGTTACAAACTGCTGTACACTTTCTGTATCGGAAATGCTTTAGAAAACTAGAGTATAAACTTCAGCTTCAGTTTCTCTGTCGTATGCCCATGTCAACAGTTTATCTGCATGCCATAGAAATTGCATGTTCCATGGAAATAATCTGTACACAGTTATTCCTGTTGTGAAAAGCACGCTTTGTGTGCAACTGCTTGATAAATATCTGACATGTTTTCTGATAGCAGTTCTTCTCACAGCTCATTTATTAAAGACCAGTAAATGTTTTTGTGATCATTTGGTACAATTTGGTAAATTTGTACATTTGTACAATTTGTAAATTTGGTACAATCCATATTCTTAATGCTGTATTATTTCAGAAATGTCTTTGTTTAACTGTATTTTTCAGATATGCCAATAGTAGCCTCATAAAATACATGGAGAAACACAAAGTCAAGCCTGACAGCAAAGTTTTTCTTTTGGTAGGTACAACTTTAAAATCACTGTGATTGTAAGAATGAAATGCACTTCTGATGGTAATATCCATGTCTGTTGTTCTATCTCATTCTAGTGAACACTGATATTAAAGATATTTATCACTAACTGGCAATTTTTGAGATGTGTTTTCTTCACATACACACATGCTGAGGGTGTGCTTGAAGTGCTGGTATTGAAGATCTGAAGGTCTTATGTAATTATGAGCTGCAAGGCACTTGTATACCCAGCCTTAACCTTATATCTGTGTGTTATATCCCTTGATTCCATGTTGTTTCAGAGAGCTAGAGAGTTTTGTGAAGGAAGGGAAGAGGAAAGGAGAAATTTAATTATTTCCTGTAGTTAATGTTTTTTTCTTTTTTTCTTTTTTTTTCTTCCTTTGCCTTTTTTTCTTTTTCTTCCCTCTGATAATAGTCCACCTCTGTTCTGTGGGTGATTCCAAACAACATCCATAAACATTTATTTGCTGGTTATCTAGTTGAGTCACTCACTGTAGGTGAATATAGAGTTGCTCTAATACAGCATCATTTTTAGATGCCTCTGTGATGATTTAGTGCTGTCTAAATTTAGAAATGAAGTTCAAAGTGACTTTGCTAGTGCTGTAAAAAGGGAGTCTTTGTAATGAGGCTGTTTGTGCAGCTTGAGTTCTAGTGGCCCATTCTCAGTTATGGATTCAGCATAGTAGTCTTCTTTCTGGGTCCTGGTGAAGACTTGTTAGTAGCTGCTGGATGGTGACACAAATAGCTGTGGAAATAGAATAGGTTTGTCCAGGTGGGTGGAAGGGAAGTGTTCATGTAAGAAGTGTGAGACTTCAAGAAAAAATAGTTAATATTTCTCAAACTCAACTTACTGGGCACACGTTGGAATCATCTGGAGGAAGAGTCTAACCAGAATGATTATAACCGTAAAAGACATTGTTAGCCCCTGAATTTCCTCATTTTCCTAGTCAAAGTGGAAGTCATCAGAAAGCCTGGTGAAAAGCCAAAGAAGCAAATGGATTGCTATCAGCTTGTATGGCTAATTCATCAAGGCTATGAACACAAAGTTAAGAGTCACTTTCAGTGGGTAAGCTACTTTTTCAGGGGAAATATTAACCAGATGTCTAAACAACACAAAACTAACCATATTTTGCCCCCCTGTAGCATAGTATATATGTTTATATATATAAACAAATGAACTTACCGTGATGGAGAAGTGGTGAGGCAAAGTTATTATAGAGTGACTGAACAAATAGGTAGGTGTCTACCTGTGAATTCCCCAGTATGATTGTGAGAATGAGAACTGATTCCAAAAGGATAGGGGCTTTTTCTGAAGATCGTGAAGAAGACTCAGTTCACTTAGCAAGGTAGGTTCTCTTAGTCAAATTTTTCTCACTGTTCATAAATGGGGATGAATAAGGGTGGTTTTAGTGATCAGCCATGAACATGGAGTCTGGTTTTAAGTAGGTCAGTCTTGCAGAGCTCTGCGTAAGAATGCTCAGGAACATGGACAGTTTTCTTGGTATCTCATTGCTGCACTGGGGAGGTCCATGTACCTGTACAAAGTCCTTAGACTTTGTACTAATGGGTACAGAAAGTGTGGCACAGAGAGAAAACAGAGCATTGAGTAGACCACTGCAGGATAGCAAGTGATTCTTCACAAAGAGGAGGATATTGACATTGAATCGTGATATATACATGAAGGGCGGAATGTTTTCCATCCAGAAGAGGCTGTCCTGGAAAAGTAGAATCTGAGAGCAAGCAATCTTGAGAGCTGCTGAGAAGTATGAGGTTGTTGATGAAGTCCAGTCTCACAAGCTTTCTGTATTGTGTTAGCAGAAAATTATGTCCAGACATTTTTATTCACTTTCCTAGCAGCAACAGAAGCTACAGAAAACCAGATTTTGTCAAAGAAAGTTGGTTCACAGTAGCCTGGCAGGCAGGATATCTCATTTGGAGTGGTATCGTCTGTTGCATCATCTGCAACGGGCAAATAGGTTATATGCTTGGGTATGGAGGGGAATTACTAAGGGGATGAGCAGACTATTAAGTGTAAGGTATCTTTAGATCTTCTGCTGTGGTACATTAGCCTTATATTTGAATGATGAAGAATACAGGTCATGTTTGGAGGCAGGTTGTGATACAGTGTTACATGGCAGAAAACTGGAGCTTTCTCTTGAGTAGTACTGCAGCAACCAATTCTGAGGTAGGAGTCCAGGGAGCAGCGGCTGATCTCCTGTACTCTTCTGTCAATGATGACAGCTGGTAAGGAAGACCAGGAGTGGCCTTACACAGAACATAAGTGTTTGTCTCTGCGGTCGTTGTGGAGGAACTGGGGAGAAGAAATCTGTACCATCTGTAATGGTGTCACAAGCCACTAAAACTGTCAAATTTTGCCTGTAGGGAGAGATGGTGACTTGGAATAAAGGTACTGAATACCAAAACCGTTGTCTATATTAATTGCATCATTTGAGGTCACTGTGTAGAGAGCAAACAGCACATTAGAAGTTGAATTTATTAAGATACATAGGAAAAGTAGGGCTAAGGGTTATCTGATAATACAAAACACAGTAAATAAGTGTACCATGCAAACTCAAGGTGTCTGCAGTGCAAAAACATCTTGAGGTCTATTTCTGCACAAGCAGCCAGAATCAGTTCAAGGAGTTGGTTGCAAATGAACTGATAGGCGAAGACAGCCAAAATGGCTCTGTGTTGTGTTGTCAGTCTGTTGAGATCCATAGCCGACAAAATACGGGAATAAGGAGGGATGGAAAGAAAGTGGCAAAAGTACAGAGAATTTTGAGATGTAATCTACAAGGTAGGGTTAACTACAGCTATTCAGAAAAGAAATGCAGGGAATCATGTTATTGATGAGGATGAATATTTTTACTGAGGTTGTTTACTGTACCATGTATATGGAATATAGAATTGTTACCAGATTTTTGGTTTCTTGGACAGAAAGCCCCAAACACCAGTCTAAAATCACATTCTTTTGCTGAATATCCAGGGAATTTCTGTTGGAGGCCTGGAAGATAGAGTTTGAGCTAAGATGCACTTTGCAGAAAGAATTTTATTTTCACTGTTGGTGTGAATTAAGGATACTGTATGATGTAATTTGAGCCTCAGGTTTCCCACTGTGACTTTATCAGAATGTGATAAATAAGTACCTATTCAAAATAGCATGTTATCCCTATAATTCCTGGTTTAAGCTGCTAATATATTGTAATCATTTTATAGCCTGTTGCAGTCAACAGCATTCCAGCTAATAAATTTAGTATTGCTTTCCTCCTAGCAAGGAAGAAAGGTTACTAGGAAGGATCTGCTCCTCCTCTTTGTTATTTCAATACCAATTAGAGTGAGACTGGAAGCTGTGTGAGTGGCAGAGAGCTCTGACTCTGGAATGTTGCCAGTGTGAGAAATGAAGATTTATTGTTTCTGTCCCTAAAGCGATATGGAGAGTTCTGGTCATGTTCAGTCTCTTCTGACACTTTTTTCCTGTTGTGTCAGCAGTACAGAACAGTATAAAAGCTGTACATGTGCCACAACAAAGCACCATTATTTAGAAATAATGCTTTATGAGCCTTTTAATAGCTGAATTTAGTGTTGTTTTAGCACAGTGGTTCAGCCTTAGCAATTAATATTGCCTGATAGACTTAACTGTATGTCTTACATGAAAAGTGCTTCACAGCCATCATGCTTTGATGGATGCGCATTCTAATTCTTGGGAACTTCACTGAGCAAGCAATGATAACTTAGGCTTGTCTGGACAAGCTACAAATAATACAGCGATCCACAGTCCAAGGCATGTAAGTCATAGTTTGAAAAATGATACTTTGATAAGCTTTTTGCTATTTTTAATGTTTTGCTTTTCAGCTTCAGAAGCTTCTTACTATGGACCCTACAAAGAGAATTACCTCAGAGCAGGCTTTGCAGGACCCCTACTTTCAAGAGGATCCTCTGCCTACATCAGAGTATGTATTCCTTCTTCTGTGCTCTTCAGGGGTGTCTTTTTTCTGCTAAATGCTAATCCTTGAAACAAGATGACAGCTGAAAATTTCAGATAATCTGCCTATATCCACAAGAAGTAGTAGCTCAGGCACGGTCAGTTGAAACTATTACGGTAGTACTGAAGTGTCTGTTGCTACTGGTGCCAGAACTGAATGGTCGTGGACAGTGACCCAGTACCTCATTAATGTTGTAATTCTGAATGTACTACCAAAGCTAGTGTGACAATATTCTTGCAGTATTTAGAGAATCCATCTGTGCCCTGTTCTGTTCTGCCTTGCACAGCCTCACAGAGCCCTGTTCTGCATTGCGTGGTTTCATTACACATCTCTGTAGGACTATGACAGTTCTCTGACTTACAAACCATGCCCTCTTGCACATGGTAATAATATGGGGAGAGAAAAGTAAAGAGATCAGTGACTGCCTAAACTCCCACAGGTCCCTTGTTCAGAAGGCTTGAGAGTGCAGATTTTATATCTCTATGTATTTTGTTGTAATGAGAAATTAAAATTATATATTCAGTTCCTACTGGCAGACTTTCCTCTTCCAATTTCTCTTCCCAGTTTTTGGAAGCATGATGGTTGGTAGCATTATGATCTGTAGAAGCTGAATGGAGGGGGATTTACACCTTTGCTTTCACTGCTTCCTCAGCTAGCAGGCAACACTAAAAAGAGGGAACAACCACTGGAGTACAAAAGGAGTGTAGCTGAGATTAGTTGTTGTCGGGGTTGGTTTTCTTTTCTTTCTTTTTCTGTTTGGATAAGCGAACACTCTATAGCAGCTAGATATGTTTAAAAACTTTAAAAAATCATGTCATGCCGATTGTATTCTGAGTGCTGGCACAGAAATCTAAGAAACTGATACTGGTCAAGATCGACCAGTAATTTTCTATTTAGTGTTTATCTGATACTGTCCTATGTAGTGCTATAGCTCCCCATGGATTACAAGGTAGCATTACGATAAAGTCTCTGCCATAAACATAAGTAAAGAATGTTCCAAATCTCATTAGCCAGCTGAATTTAGAAGCTATCTATCTTTTTTTTTTCTCTAAACAAGACCTGAGAAGCTAATTGAAAGTAACTCTGCAGTTGTGATTGGCAAATATATTTAAGCCCTCTGTAAGCCAAGGCAGGCTTATAAGACATTAATACTTTTTGGATCAGGCCTTTTATTCAGTGAGCCCTGCATGTTTGAACTAGGTGTTAATGGAACCTCTGACACTGTGTTTGTTCATTTTGCCATCTGGATCAGCAAGTGGTCATTCTAGCATTTGGGCATGCTCAACCATGCCATGATTTCTAAATTATGACCTTGTGCCAACAGCAAAGAAAGAGATCCGACTTTCTGATCAGCACCTAGTTGCTATTATCTGCTGTTGTCTTGGGTGCTCACACTGCTGCTTGGGGAAACAGGACTCATGAAATGCATGAAATTAAATTGTGTTATATTCACTTGTTTTTAATACAGTGTTAAGTAAATGTATGTCATATGTATATATTTGTGGAAGTGTTTAATGTTTACTGTGTTTCAGTGTATTTGCTGGCTGTCAGATTCCATATCCTAAAAGAGAATTCCTCAATGAAGATGAACCCGAAGAGAAAGGGGATAAGGTATAATAGTTTAATTTTTTCCCCCTGTAAGTATGTAATAAGAAAGAATCATGGTGCTACCAAATGAAAACTAATGAAATGTGAGGAGTTAACCAAAAACGTGTTTTCCAGGCAAGGCTCTCTCAAAACTGCTTCCCAGACAGATTATCAGGTGGTTTTGGAGTGTCTCAGGCAGTATCACCAGCACAGTTTGCCCTGACCTGTGGGGAATGAACTGGATGTGTTGTTTGGTCAGCAGTAGCCTGCTTTCAGCTGCCAGCATTCCAAGAGGAACTTGCTACCTCCTCCTGCATCACATGGTGAAAATACATTGTGATCATATGAAAAGAATGTCATTTCCAGTGGATGACTGGCATACATCCAGCCATTTGAAAGTTGATGGCTGTCAGGGTCTCAAGTAAATAGTGGCAGCCTGCTTCTGGCACTACATCACAACATTTCATCCATCTGCACAGTTTCCTGATCATGTTTTAAGGGCCCTCAGACAAAGGAGTAATAAGGAGCATGAACTGTTCTGGTAACGACAGTCTGCCCTGATTCCTGTCTTTCCCATAGCCCCAAAGACATGGGCAAGAACTTGTTTGTGTGCAGAGTAAATTGTGGCATGTTTGCAGCATAACCTGACCTGCTTTGTGCATGTAGCTCAGCTGTGCTACGTGACTGCAGTGAATTGCCCCATCATGCTGTGAAGCCTGGACAATGGTGCTGTAGTGCATGAAGCAGCTTGCTATTTTCACATGTACAGTACTGTACAGTAAGACACCACCAGTAATGTATAGCTAGCAAAATGTAAAGGAAACAGCCTTAAATGGTAATCATCTGAGGAGTACATGGGAAGGGCTGTAAATCTTTTGGAGAAACCATTTGACTACATGCATCTTCTGTTTTCAGATTTTTCTGTGTAACAGGAGATGCTAGCTGAATTTAGAAGTATGTCTATCACAATACATTTCAGACAGCAGATTTTGGTTTCAGAACAGGCGTTTTAGATTTTTCTGTATTGAGAACAAATGGTAACATCCTGGATTTTTGTGTCCAGATAGTTGGGGTGTTTTGTTTGTTTGTTTGTTTTTTAAAAAAAGAGGAAACAGACACCTAAGCAAAAATAAAATACCTGATTTGATTGTAAATTAGTTACTAGCTTTATTTAAACTCCGCTTCAAAACAAGAACAAATCTTATGAATTGAAATTACTCTGCCTTCTGTTGAGTCAGTGTATTTAAAAGTAGGTATCTGCCTTTTTCCTGGAGTGTTGGGGGGGGAACAATGGCATATTTATATTCAAAACAGCCATTGTATAAATGGTCTTTGAAATTGTTGGGGACAGTCACATATTATACACGCTCCAAATTAAACTTCTGTGAAACCTTTTAGGTAATACAAGTCACGCATTACTTATTGAATGTGTTCCTACAGTGTAGAAAATGTACAGGTAAAGGATATCCTGAAAATTGGATTGGTGCCATGTTCTGTTTCTTTATGATGATGCAAGTGAAAGGATTTAAATTTCTTTTTAATAGTGCTAGTTTCTAGTTTGTTTTTAAAACCATAAATATCTGTATAGTCCTTTGGAAACCTAGAGATGTTCTCTGTGTTTGCTTATTTGGAACTTCATCTGAACTGAATAACTTTTAATGTAAGCATCTCTACTTCAAAATGGTTAATCATTAGTTAGAAAAGCTAAAATGAGTGTTTGTAAAACAACCTCAAATTGTGTTAGGCAAGTTTCTGCTGGGTTCCTTTGGAAGTAGGACTGGAATTTCATTTTTGTAATTTGTACCTGTGAGTTGAAACATGGTATTATGTTGCTAACTGTAGACCTTTCACTAGTTTATTTATTTAGGGACCACCATGAGCTAGACTGACCTGAAGACAGTGTTTTTGCTGGCATAAGCTGGTTTTGTACGCTAAGGAGGTGCAGCTAGAACCCTACCAGAGCCTGCAAAGTAGATCCCAGTCTTTATCCAGGCAGTAGCAGTAGTTGCTGCACAGAAGAGCAAGCTCAGAGTAGTCAGGTAAATTTTATGCTAATACCCAAAGTGCAAAACATAGGACCTACGACAAACTCATGCCTTTAACTATGAAAGTTCCTGCAATATTTGTTTACACATAACAAAACTGCATTTTTCAGCTCTCACAGTAGCAACCACCTTATTTGCATCCAAACACCCTATGAAAACACAAGTTTTGGAATTCTGGCACAACTACTGCGTTAGTTGTTTGTGTAAGTGAAGTTCAAACCATTATGAAAAGATAAATTGCTTCTTAACATTTACTTTTTTTTTTTTACAAGCGAGCTTCATTAACTTTTAATATTACTGAAGTTTATATCTCCTGGGAAACAGAATCTGACTGAGATGGGATTTGAGGACTGTAAGCAGGAGGATACATTATTGTATGTGAAATGGCACAAGCAAGCCACCTGTGAGTCCTGGAAGATCCTTTGTAATCCTAAATGAATACATCATTACAAATTTCATCTGACTGTATCTTGGGAGACCATTGTGATGCATGGCATAGATACAGATCTTTTATGTCATTTATCTGAGGTAACTGAATGCCTTTTGGTGATCAGGGGCATCAGGAATTTTCTGCTGGTGGCAACTGGTTGTCATGATTTCTGAGAAGCTAATAAAGTGGGGCTTTTATAAAAGGATGCCATACTAAAGCTTTTATAATTACATAATATATTCTAGGGGAGAAAAGACTATCCTAAAATATTCCCTAGAGGGTACGGGGGGAGGGTAGTTTCTAATTCGAGCCATGACAATTGTTGTTTTTTTTCCATGATGAACAAGTGACATACATCCCATTTGGAGAGAAATTGCTTTTCTTTGCAATTCTCTTATGTGCTTTAGTGCTCTGATGGAGGAGCCATCCCTGGTGTTTGAAAGCAGGCAAATGGGTGGTCTTTCCTTGTAACTGTCTAACCATGGAGGGCAGAGTTGCACCCTGCTGTTTTTCTGACCTTCCCTCCAGTTCCCTAATGCTCTTTTTAGTCTGTAGCCCTCTGAAGCCAGAAGAATACAATGTCTTTGGCTCTTGTGTTTCCCTTCTTTTTTCTCCCCTTCGTGGCCCTTTTCTCTTTGTCTCTCTTCCTGCTAGGTCCCAATGTCATCTTAATTGTCTGGCTTCCCTTCCCTTGCCAAATTCTTCCTTCAGCTGTTTCCGCCTCTTTTGTCTTCAACTATTTGTCTCTGGTCAATTTTCACTTTTCTGCTATTTCAATAAGATTTTCTGATCCTGTACTTAGTGCACTATGCTGGACCGTGTTCCTAGTATACCACTCTGACAAGGTACCTAAAAGCACAGTAGAGCAAAACAGTAACGAAACCTGTTTCTGGTTCTACTACAGAATTTCCTCACAATCTGGAAGAAATTAGGTAATTTCTCTGGCCTCAATTTGCTTACCTTTCCGGCAGTAAAGCTCCAACCTCCATCATGTTATTGTAACACGTCATTTGTGAAAGTTTGAAAAGTGGGTTTGATTCTGAGTGAACAAGGCTGTTGAAACACTTAGAATAATTTATTGTGGTTCATCACATGTGCCACTGAGCTCTAGTGAAATTTTGGGGGGTTTGATTCAGTTCAGTAGGCAATTACTGCTTTGTAAATTGTTCCTTCCATCCTCCTCTCTGAGTGCTTGGCTAGCTGTAGGAGGCACTAGTCTGTCCTTCCAGTTTTACTCTAGCTTGCTTTGTTAAAAATACAAAATGATCACAAATGGGATACCCCACAAAGTGTGTGTGAGTGTACTGAGGACACATTTCTCCTGACATGCGGACTTGCTGTGTTTTCCCATTGAGCAAGCAGGCCTGCCTCCTTCTCCACTGGCACAGGGGCCGGCAACTCCATACGGCTCCCAGACTAGCTCAGAGTAAGTGATGGTCTGTGTTGCTTCTTCCCGTAGAATCAACAGCAGCAGAATCAACATCAGCAGCAAACAGCACCTCAGCAGCAGCCGCAGGCAGCGCCGCAGCAGCCGCAGCCACAGCAGCAGAACAGCACCCAGACCAATGGGACGGCCGGGGCCGCTGGCGCGGGAGGAGGGGGAGCAGGTGCAGGGCTCCAGCACAGCCAGGACTCCAGCCTCAACCAGGTGCCTCCCAACAAGAAACCACGCATAGGGCCTTCAGGCGCTAACTCAGGCGGGCCTGTCATGCCTTCAGATTATCAGGTACCTCTGGAGTTTTTGCTGCTTCTGATACTGTACGGCCAAAATGTTGTTTTCTGCCTTCCCCACTGCAAGCATAAATCACGTTTTAATGAATTTCCCATGTAACTTCAGCAGGTGTGCTGTGATATATTGGACAAAAATGTGGGCCTGAAGCTTTAAAGTTAAAAGGTTATGTTCTGTGGTTAGTAATTTTCAATAGAATGCCAGTACGAGTTGTATTTGCTGCACCCTGTGAAGTGTCAAGCACTAGTCCTCTCCAGGAAAGCACTTCAACACATGACTAATTTTATGTTTGGGAGTAATCTTGTTGAAGCCACTGGAACTATTTCATGCATGTAAGTGCTGCGTGAGATCAAGTTTAGGGTACTCTTCTCTCTGCAGTATTAAATTCTGTGTGAATAGCAGAAGCAAAGTTAGAACCAGGCTCTCACATTTGATTCCTGCTTCATTTTACCTCATATCGTTACATGTGTGGAGCGGTTCTGTAGTTTGTTCTACAATCTTGCTAAGTCGACTTCTGATGTTAAAGAAAATGAGCATGTTAGCACAGGAGTGACGTTTTGGTTCATCAGCATGATTCATGCTGAAGTAGGGCAGAAAGACAAGTATTGTTGCTAATGTGACCAAAGTTGAATAGCTTTCATGTTTTCCAGTACAGTAGCATTCATGAGTAAAAGCATGAAATATTTTTGGATTTGCGTATTTGTGTCTGCTTACTGGAATTGTGTTTTCCAGCGAAAAAGTGACCTACACTAAATACAGAAAACATTGAACTTACCAGGATCTTCAGTACTTGGGTTTATACTTGCTGGGAGAGTAATAAGTTGAAAACAGAATAAGAAAAATATAGATATTAAGGGTAGCTTTTAAAAGATGTTAGGGATTTTGTTTGCCACTGGCCTTCAAGAGGATCCCACCATGAAGAATGGTCTTGTCAGGCAGCTTTAAACTTAAGTAACTTTTTAAAATAAAAAAACAGCTCTAGAGTTGCCTTGACTGAAGCTGCCTCCAGAGCACCACAGACAATTGATTTCTCAGTGCCAGACATTTTTCTCCCATTTCTGTCTTACTCTTTTAATTACAAATGATCATGAAGGCGTTGAGGGCAGTGTAAGGGTAAGGACAACTAGGTTTCTTTTTTGAAGAGTTCCAGACAGCCTTGAGGTCTGGACAGATCACTACAGCTGTCTGACTATGCAGTATTTATGGCTGGCCTGGTTTGGTCTGTATTTTGAGGACTGGTGGGCTGCATTTGATAATACCCATTATAGAATCCTTATACAGCTCTCTGAATTGTTGGCAAACTTCCCCCTTATAAGTTGTTAGCAGTCTAAATATCCTGTGGGGTTCTTTTTTTTGTGACAGATTATTACTTTTTACCCCATGGCTCTTTCCTTCAAAAGTTTAACAGCACAGGCATAAAAATGATGATCTGTATGTTTCCTATATGTCACTCGCTAAATTGTATGGTGTGATTATCCATTTTTACACTTGCATTTGGCTATCTGCCCTTAAATTCTAGTTGACTTTCTTCTGTTCCAGAAAGGAATGTCTGCAATTTGTCCAAGTCTGACTTTGTTAAAACCAAATTCTCTTCTGTGAACAAAAATAAGCATGGGCAAGTTAATACATTCTTGTTGTCTTATGGCAATGATTTTATTCCATTATACCTTATTGAGAAGTTTGAAGATGATTCCGTTTGAGTTTCATTTAGTTGTGATTTAAAGTCTCCACTGAAATTTTTTGTAGTTCACCAACTCCAGTGTATGCTGCTTCCACAAATGTCAGTCCAAATTCTGTGTTGAATTTTACTGAGCATTCCTTATGTGACCTTGGGTGTTCTGCTCAGCTCACCATGCTAATGTTTTTCATCCAGAACTAGCTCTTATAAAGTCATAGAACTTACTACAATTCTTTTATGTTAGAAGTTGCAAAAACTTTCAGAATTTTGAGACAAATTTCAGTATTCCAGGTTTCAGATACTGTTAATCTAATCATGCAGGCCAAGCATAATTTGGTTATTAATGGCATACATGCTGCTGGAAGGCATCTCTTCCAAAGCCAGTGTGCTGAGCTGTTATCTCCAAACTGACATTTTCAAACAAGTGAAGTTACTCCATACAACTATTAGTTGTATTAATATTATATTCCTACATTAATATCATATTCCTACATTAGACAGAACACAGAAAAAGTAATGTGATCTTTTTCAGGTTTAGTATGTTTTACAGTTTGTGTAAAATTAAAGGTATGAAGCTATGTACAGAAACAACAGGCAGAAGCTTTACACTGCCTGAACTTTAGGTTCCTGCTCTTCATCATCCAGCTGAAAAGTTGTCAGGAGGCTTTCACAGCCCTCCTGGTTGGGATCTAATGGTTAAATGAGATCACTGACTGAGGTGTTGCTGTCCTGGGTTCAGCAGTAGCAGTCATTTTTCTCCTCCTTGGTAGCTGGTGCAGTGCAGTGTTTTGACTTTCAGCTTGGGAACAGAGCTGATAGTGATGTTTAGGTTTGGCCAAGGACTTTGTGAGCCTCATGCTCTGCCAGGGAGGAGGGGAAGCCAGGAGGAAGCAGAGACAGGACACCTGACCCAAACTGACCAAAGAAGTATTCCATACCACAGCACGTCATGCCCAGGATGCAACTGGGAGTTAGCCGGAAGGGCGGGGAGACGGCAGGGTTGGAGGAGGTATCGGTCAGAGCTTGGTCGGGCTGGGGGGGCGAGTTATCGGTCGGCTGGTGGTGAGATGATGTATTCTCTTCCCTTGTTATTTCCTTTATCATTATTATCACTGGTGGTAGCAGTAGTGATTTGTGTTATACCTTAGTTACTAAACTGTTCTTATCTCAACCCGTGGGAGTTGCATTCTTTTTGATTCTCCTCTCCGTCCCTCCGGGAGCAGGGGGAGGGCAAGAAAGGGGGGGGAAGTGAGCGAACGAATTACCTGACTGAGTTTAAACCACGACAGTTCTTTTTGGCGCCCAACGTGGGGCACGAAGGGTTGAGATAACGACAGATCTGACTGGATTAATAGTCACTCGTCACAATGCTGATTTATTGGCTCTCAGAGTTGTTTCGCTTGATCTCACAGCTTCAGAATGTTGTAACTTACTTAGAGCCGGTATTTGCTGTGTTAGTGTTTCTCAAGTATGGGGCTTGGGCTAAGGTTCTTGTCTCACTGTGCTTTATGGCAATGGCTTGTAATACGGGCGGGCTCCAGCAGCAGGGCGGGACGGAGGTGGCCGTGGACTTGTACCTGGCCGTCCGGCTGCTCTTCACCGTCCTGGCCCTCACCCTACTCTCCATCTTCGTGAGGCTGCGGGGAGCTGCGGGGGAGCGGCACCGGGAGCCGGCGGCAGCCGAACCGGCCCGGGAGAGCGGCCCCGGGGACCAAGCGGCGGCGGGAGCGGGGCCGGAGGCCGCGAGGGGACGGCTGCGGGTGGAGGTGGCCGGGGCCGTCGAGGAGCGGAAGGAAGGGGCTGCCGAGCAGCGGGAAAAGGCGGCGGAGGAGCCGAGCCCCGCGGCCGAGCCGAGCCCCGCGGAGGAGCCGAGCCCCGCGGCCGAGCCGAGCCTCGCGGCTGAGTCGAGCCCCGCGACGGTGGAGAGCGTGCCCCGGAAGCCGCCCGCCGAGCCCCAGGAGGATGCAGGAGACCACGCAGCATTTCCCAGCAAGGCAGAGGAGGAAGAGCTGGACTCGGGAAAAGAGAGGCTGGCGGTAGCAGAGCCGGGAAGCACAGCAGCTGCACCAGCCCCAGTGACAAGTATAGCAGCATCGTTTGAGAGTCCTGAAGGTTTTGAATGGCCTTTGGGTATCCTTGGGACCTGCCTGCTGATTGTGGTGGGGATCAGCATGTTGGCACTCACACAGACTGTGTTCTACCCACCACCATTTTGTCTGATCTCAAAAGTTAAGCAGAGTCAGGTTTGGGTCTTGTCTGGGGTTAGACGAGGATATAGGGGGACCAAGAGGTTTTCCCCAAGGCTGGACAGCCATGAGTGGCAGGGTGTGTGGGACAGTATGGGCAAGTATCTAGTCCACTGGGCCCCTCCAGTGCTTTGGAAGCATCGGAGATGGAAGGCAGCTGTATGGAGTCCCCAGCAACAAGCTGCAGAAACTGCTGAAGGGGACAGTGAATTATTTTGAGCCTGGTGGGCCCAATGCACTTCAGGCCATCAGAGCAGAGATGCAACATAGAGATGGACTCATGATCAAGGGGTGGACTTAGCAATGGACACTATTGCCCAGGTTATTCACGAGTGTGAACACTGCACACAGTCTCTCCTGCTCTGGAAGACTGTTACAAGAGATGGAGCCTGACATCATGGACCAGATGGACTCAGCAGCTTTATAGGGACTGGTCCATGCACTGAGATAAGAGTGATGGTATACTGAAAATGTGGGATCTGAGCATGACGTGAATGGTATGGAATAAGGGGTGGATAATGTCCTGGGTTCAGCAGTAGCAGTCATTTTTCTCCTCCTTGGTAGCTGGTGCAGTGCAGTGTTTTGACTTTCAGCTTGGGAACAGAGCTGATAGTGATGTTTAGGTTTGGCCAAGGACTTTGTGAGCCTCATGCTCTGCCAGGGAGGAGGGGAAGCCAGGAGGAAGCAGAGACAGGACACTTGACCCAAACTGACCAAAGAAGTATTCCATACCACAGCACGTCATGCCCAGGATGCAACTGGGAGTTAGCCGGAAGGGCGGGGAGACGGCAGGGTTGGAGGAGGTATCGGTCAGAGCTTGGTCGGGCTGGGGGGGCGAGTTATCGGTCGGCTGGTGGTGAGATGATGTATTCTCTTCCCTTGTTATTTCCTTTATCATTATTATCACTGGTGGTAGCAGTAGTGATTTGTGTTATACCTTAGTTACTAAACTGTTCTTAGCTCAACCCGTGGGAGTTGCATTCTTTTTGATTCTCCTCTCCGTCCCTCCGGGAGCAGGGGGAGGGCAAGAAAGGGGGGGGAAGTGAGCGAACGAATTACCTGACTGAGTTTAAACCACGACAGTTGCTTTCGCTGAGTAGATTCTTAGTCAGTAGAGGATGTGGTGTTCTTACATGCCCGCTGTCTCCGTTGAATTTCCTTTCAGAACTCAAACTTCTCCAGAGGGTTTCTGTAACTCATAATCCTGATATTTAATCAGAATGTAGGTTCTTAACACTTTTCCTAGATGATTGCTGTTGGCCACAGTCTTGCTGATGACCCCTGGAGACGGCCAAGAACAACCATTAACTAAACAGTGAACAGAACTCTATTGAATGGCTGCCTGACCCTGCACTTACCTTGGCTAGAAGCAAATTGTTTGCTGATTGCAGATAGTTTTGGGGTTTTTTTTTGTAAACTCTCTTGTGGGTTGGGGTGGGGTATACCTTGCTGGAGAGTCTCCTATCCATTGAGCAGTACTTCTCAGGCAAAGTGATTTTGCAACTTGCATTAGTTTGCAGCTTCACTTTATTGCAGCTCATTATTAATTCTGGACAGGGAATGGATATGGTAATAAAAGGCAAATTCAGCAAACTACAGGCTGCAAATGATCCATGAATTTGGCTTGCTGAGATTGTGGTCCTCCCAAACAGTGAAGGGGAAAAAAAAGCATTCAGGGAAATTAATGTTAGGTTATTGCACATACACAAGACCATCTTTAAGCAGTTGTCCTTGCTTCTAGTAGTTATGGCAGCAGATTGAAAGACTCACCTAAAATTATTTTATTCTATCCCACTGGACATTTTTCATTTAGATAAATTGAGTAGCTCTTAGGTCAAGGTTGTCTTTTTCTCAGGAACAGAATAAACTATTACTCATAATGTTTCATATTGCCTGTGTCAGAAAGGGTGCTTGTGGCCTTAGCAGTTTGGTTTTCTACTTATAATGATAGATGTAAGTTTAAGCAACAGCTGAATTCTGAGATGGAATCTGCCCTCTCTTGTGTCTTGTGTATTTTTCCTTCAAAAAATACATGTGTACCTGCTGGACTTCTAGGTGCCTGCCAGTGACGTCGTGTATTTTGTGTGCTGTGCTAAGGCTGATTGCAGATCAGATTGATTACTTGTTTTATAGTACCTTAAATAGTAAGAGTATTTAGTCAGCTTCTCCAACAGTCACGTTTTAATGAGCTTCAGGGAGGTTTTTTTGTTTCCTGAGCTGCATAGTCCTAACAGACTGGTTTTCATTCCCATGTTCCCGTTTTATTTTCCTGCAGCACTCCAGCTCACGCCTGAGTTACCAAAGCAACATTCAGGGATCTTCTCAGTCCCAGAGTACAATGGGCTATTCCACGTCATCTCAGCAGAGCTCCCAGTATCACCAATCTCATCAGTCTCACAGGTACTGAGAGGGCTGACTCAAAGGAAAGGACTAAAAGCCAGAAGACTCCAGCAATATGAAGTTCATAACAATGAGAAGAACCAAAAATACAAACTTATGATGCAGAATTAAATTCACGATGACAAAAGGAAAACTTCACTCACTGAAGACTCTCCCCATAGCCCCCCATCCCTTTATTGCCATAAAAGAGATTCTCGTGAAGTTTTCCTTCCTCCCTGCCCTTGCATGTGCTCCATTGTGGTTACTCTAATGAACTCTTCTGATCTGAACCCAGCACTTAACTTCTTTAACCTTTGGAATTTTGAAGGATTCCTGGTGCACCTTCCTTATGCTGTAGTGATTGCCATAAATCTGTCTTTTCAATCTCTTTGATGGGATTTTAAAGTTTTAAAATCTTGAACTCCCAGGCTTTCAAGCTTGTATATAGTTAGTTTTATACTAGGCAAACCAGTTTAGCTATACAGGTATATTGCACCTTTTTAAAGCACTATGTTATTTTCACAGGATATTACTGTTTTGCTCATGGATGTCAAGAACAGCAAGATTTTACTGTTCCAGAGTATTTTACTATTCTGTTTTTATTAGTCTAGTTTTCAGGCGAGGTCTTAAAAATAGAAAATTTAAAAAAGAAATAAAATTTAAAAAAGAAAAGAAAAAAAAAAGAAAAAAAAACACCCAAGTCTCTGCAGCAAAATATATGCTTCATGCTACTGGACTGAACGCCAAACAGAAGATTGCTGATATTTCTTAACTCATTCACATTGAATTCTTGAAATCACAGTGATCGTGCTCTGACTAGTTTTAAACTAAGCGTTATTTTAAATGAAACCAGGACAGTCACATGAAAAGGAGATGCTTTCAGGATCTGTTGGAACAGAAGAATGGAATGTCTTCCCAGGCTGGACACCAAAATAGTCAGGAAAAGGTATTTACTGCCCTCAAGTCTCAGTAGGAATGTGGATGATGGTTTTGTTTTTCTGTTAAGCAGCTGATTAATGTACATGAGAGTTCTATAAATTTAGCTTTCTTTCACATTCCTGAGCCAGTTTTCTAAATGTAAAGGTGACAAAAATACTAAGACTTGAGAAAACAAATGCATTTAATAATTTTATATTAGAATTAATAATTAAGAGAAATTATTGTGCAGTTTGAAAAGCATGTTGAAAATTGTTCCTTTTTCATGTCTGTAATACATATTCTGCGTCCCTCATATTGCTGTGATTAACCCAGATTAGTTACACCAGATGCGCTTGATTGCACTGAGATGTTTCTTTTTCCCTAGAGCAAACATATTTTGATTGTGCCTAAGGATTGTAAGTGGATGGGTAGCTGGCAGAAAATCCCCAGTAATTAAGCAAGAGTTCAGAAGCATAATCAGAGGATTATTGTCCAACTTCTGCAACCACAGTTACTCGGGGAGACACAACATGTAATTTGGGACCACTTCATTTTTCTCTCAGCCTTCAGAAATAAGGCTGGCTCTTGTTGCAGAAAACCTTGAAAAATGGTTTTAGAAAGCTACTAGCAATGTAACATCAGTGAACTTCTATAACTAGTGTCCAGAGAAGAGATGAAGTGAGTAGAGTTCATCTGTAAATGGTTAATGTTACAGGCTTTTATACTGCAGCATATTCTCTATTGTATCCATACAAAAAAAAAGATTGTATATATGCATACACATTCACACTCAAGTTGTGATCAGACCTAACAAAGTGAGTGAATCTGTTTGCTCTGAGGAGAATGTTTTTCATCACAGCTAGACATGTACATGTTTCTACTGGATTTGATCTCCCAGTCGCTTTTAGTGCTCCGTTCCTCCTCAAACAGGTGTTGTTTTCATACTTTTTGTGAGCAGTTAGTTGGCTTACCTTGGCTCTATCTACCACAATGCGGTTTTGACAATACCCAGCTTCTCTGGAAAAGCAACCAAGACTTGTTTTTGTCATCAACTGGGCAAGAAGGTGATGAAAATGAAATTAAGCAACTTAAAGGAAAAAAATATTTCTGGGGAAAAGTAATCTCGCAAAAGGTACTTTCAATGTGTAACCTTTGAACTGCTACATATTATATGTACTCTAGTAGCCTGTTTGAAATAACAGACTTTAATTGTTCCTTTATTTTATTTCAGTGAGCCTGGGGTTACATTCTTTCCTTAAGTAGGATGTCTCACCTCTTACTGAGCTTAGGGTGGGGTACCTTTTAGCCAATGGATATTTGGGCAGTACCATAAAGTAACATTTATTTGTATTTCTGTGGCTTGAATGTCACATTTCTGGAAATGAACCTTTGGCAGAGTAATTTTTTTCACCCTTCTGTTGTCTTCTCCATTACACTTACCTAACAATTCTCCCTACTGCATCTGATCATCAAAATTCATATAATGTCAGGAAAGGGAAGTGTTACCATACAGTTACTTAAGGTGGGCTCTTGTGCCAATAAGACAAAATCATGGTGTAGATTAATCTGTATGTAGAGTATGAAACTTCACAGCAATGTAAGGTACTTTAATTGAGTGAGCTTCCAGCTTCTAGAATGACTGCCATGACCTCTCTCTAAGCTGAACTGACGTTTCTGCCTTGGTTTGATAGATGACTACACGCCATTCCTCTCTAGCTTTTGTGTGCACACATGAAGCCGAGCTGACTTCCTCTGTTGCCTTCAAACTCACAATTGGAAGGAGAGTGTATAAAAGCAAAAGTGTTTTCTGCAAAACTTAAGCTGTGCACACTCTTCTAGTTGCTTCCTGGTGGTGAAATAGTTCGCCTGTCCTTGTGAGCTTGACGTGTTGCTGCAGTGGGTGGCAGTTGTAGCAGAAGAAGCCTTGCTTTCCAGGGGTCATCCCGTGAGGTAAAAATGCTCTGCTTTCAGAAGTGAATCGTGCAGTGTGTCATAGGAAGCCAGGACCACATCATTTTTATGTTCTTTTCTACCTGTGCAGTTTCATTAGTACTCATAGCTCTGTCTCTGCCCATAACTTTACACCCTGACCAAATGTTTCACACCAGTACCAAGAGAGGTGGGTGACACCGGCAGAGCTGTCTTCTCCATCCTGGTCGCGTGGTGGGAGAGTGGGCGCTGAGTACAGCTTTTCCCATCATGGCTCAGGAAACAAGTGCGTGGAGAATGAATGGGATGAGCAGCCTGGTCCGCGTTGGAGTTTTTATGTAGCACAAACTGCACAATGAAGGAAAAATATAGGGAAAGCTGCGAGTCCTGCACTGTATCTGTGACACTGTAACTGGGGAGGGGGAGGGAAGAGCATTTGTAGCGGAAGGGGTGGCGGGAAGCTAGAAGTGTTCAAATATGTATAATATTTTATATAAGCATAATAAGCTTAGTCCCCCTTCATAATCTTCAGGAATGGTACTTTAACACCATTAAGCAGAGAATTGTTTTAGGATTAAATAAATGTACATAAGGCCATACATAATCTTCTAAAAATGTCGCCAGACAGGAGCGATGTGTATTACTATATGAAAAAAAAAAGTCCTTAATGCACTGTTATCTCCTAAATATTTAGTAGTAAATTAATACTATTTAATTTTTTTATAAATTTGTCTTGTGTAGACACTAAAAAGTATTACACAAAATCTGGACAGAACGTGTCCTTTTTAACAGCAATTTAAAGAACTTTTTATATATGTAAGGTAGTAACTTTTCAAATTGTTCTAGTTGTATTTTCCCATGTTTACTATTTGTGGAAGTGTGCCTGTCTCTCTTCAGTTATTTTTTTTTTTCTAATAATTTCATGCACGCATCTTTCATTTTTGTAGTTTTCATTAGAAATTATTGTGTATGTGCCTCATGCTGCCACAAAATTTTGCCGCTGTAGGTCTGTGGTGGCCACATTTGGCAGTGCCAGTGCCAATGGGGTAGAAAAACCACAAAGCAAAATACTTGTTTCTCATTCTGGAGTTGAGAGTTTACTGCTTTCAAGTTGTCCTGATGTCACTCTTGAAATGACTGTTAAAACTAAACTATGAGTTCATTGCATTTATTTTATATTCTTGGTTGTAATGAAATGGAATTGACTTTGCTTCAGTGTGAATTTTTTTTAATAAAATAATATACATTTGTAATAATAATAATAAAAAGTTCAAATCAAATGAGCATGCTGAAAAGTTTCTGTAAACATTGGCTTTGGACTACCAAGAGGGAAAATATAGCCCACAAAATTGCAGTTGTAATTATATTCAGGATGTTTATGATATCATACACCACACAAAACAAAGCTTGCAAAACCTCAGATGAAATTGCAGCTTTTAAAATGCCCACAAGGATATTCATGGGTATGTGTCTATCAAAATAGAATGAAGCCTTATGGAAAACAGAATCGATGGAGTGGTTGTCTTAGTTTTTGCCCTCTGCTTAAAAGTATCCTGCCATGCCACGCTGATGGCACTTGTTGAGATTCATTATTACTTGTGTGATGATCCTATAGACGTGTCTTCTGGAAAAAAAAAACCAACCCAAAAACCTGGGTTACTGCATTCTAAAGCTAAATGCCCTCTTACCTTTTCCTCATGTGGGAACTTGGAAGATTTCAAGTATTTCAGGTGACAACATGGAAAGCACAGGCTGGAGCATATTGGTGGGTTTTCAAAGTGGGGTTTTGTGTGCTTTGCTAGTCTGTGTGTTTCTGTTTCATCTAACTGTTGTTTCAGAGATGGATGGATGATAGGATAGGATGGATAGGTAACTTCTGCCAGAAATTCTACTTGTCTTCTCCATAATAGTTACACAGGTAAGAATGATTGGGGTTTACTTACACTACCAATCCCGTTAAGAAAGAGATTTGATTTCTGGTGTGCCTTTTGCACAAGGGTGGGAACAGAAGTAGCCTTTAGCCAAAAAAGCTTAGTCTGCATCTCTGACACCTCATGGATGAAGAGCTGTTGCTTCAGCCTCAGCGCAACTGAGCACTGCAAAGCTCTGTAATCCTAGTAGTTTCCTTTCTGCGTCTGTTGTCCTGTTTGTTGTGCTTATTCAGCAGCTTTGACTTGGATGTCTTTCCTAAAACCTATGTTGGCTCTGTCCCAGTCTTTGTTCTTATACAGCATCTCTCACTGTTTTTTCTACTTGGTCATGCAATTTACAGTCTAATCCAGCCTCATCCTACTGATCTGAATTATGGTGTAATTTCTTTTTCTATCCTTGACAGCTAGGCAACTTAGATTTCAGACTCTTTCAGAAAGTTGCAGAGTAGGTTGTTTATTAGTCTCTTGCTTTGACTTGTTGCTTCCTGCTTTGTGTTACTGCCCTGGCTTTGTCATCTCTGTTGCATTAGATGTAAAGCTACTCTCTTCACTTGCACATCACTGCCAAAGCCTGCTGTTACCCCATCCCTCTTACTCAAATTAAGAAGTTATCTAAGGTCAACCTCTACGCCACCCATTTTGGATTTCCAAATGAGCATTTTTATGTTGTTTCCAATTGCCCATTTTTCCTGAAGATCCAATGCATAAATTTCTGAAAAATTCCCTCCTAGGTGTCTGCTGCGTCACTCATTGAAGCCCTTTGGCTTTGATGTTTCCAGAAGCTTAATATTTTAAGCTACTTTTGGGCCATGAGATGTACCTGTTGTGTCAATGAAAACTATCACAATGTTTCATTATACTCTCCAGTCCATCTGTGTTTGTCTGTCACCTCCCTGTGCACCTGTTGTAAGCTCCCCGAGACAGGAATGTGTGTTTTGCCTTGACACGGTAGCTTCAAGACTGGCATTGCAGCCACTTTGCAATGCAGATAATAATCACTGTAGTCTCATGGGGTTTTACTGCTGGACAACACACAAATTTCCATGTACTGTTTGAACACAAAAAAAAACCCACATCATTTTGTTGCCACGTGTCAATCTGATCTGGCTAAACATAGAACTTGAGCAAACATTGTTCCAATAGCCATCAAAGATTGACAGTGGCTTACCTATAATGTTTTTTAACAGGTAATACAGCTTTTTTAAGCTCCAGAGAAATTCATGCCTTTGTTTAAGATCACAGTAAGAACAGAAGCTTTGATTTATTTTATTTTTATTGTAATGTAGAAAAATATTATTGCATGATTACTACAATTATTTTTTCATTTGCAAGAAATATTTATTAGAGCAATAATTGTTTGAGGTAGATTAAAACCACCAATAAGGTTATGAAAGATGTTTGTACAGTCACAGCTGAGCTGCCAAAATTGCTGTGGGAGTACCACAGTTATGTAACAGATACCCAAGATAATCCAGAGTAGGTGTTTAAAATAATAATAATAATAATTTGAAGTCTGAAAGTAATGCCAACCTACCTAATAATTTTTATGTAGTGTGCTTGCCTTGGAATACTGCTATAGGGTCAGTTTTCCAGTTTTCTATACTGGCATACTGCTTAAGGCTGTTGTATAGACTCTAACAGGCCATTTCTGTGATAATTCCGTAGTCTGTTTTCCAAGGTATCTTTGAAGACCTTTAAAAGAGGATGGA